CATCACCACCAAACGCCAACTCTTGGGCTACTCTTTTACCAACGAATAGTTGGATTCACCGTCACATTATAACGCCCCTCACGGCTGAAAGAGCGAGCATGTTTGGTGGGACGGGGATTCGAACCTGCGACCCACAGATTGTGAGTCGAGTGCCTTAACCACCTGGCCATGCCGGGCTCTGAAGTATGCACTATACTGGTACTTAGATAGATGCCGTGAACTTAATTAACTCATTCTTCAGACAAAAATTAAGACTGAACTTTGCACAAGACGAAAAAAAAGTATAAAAGTGAAATAAAAACAAAATTTACCCATGGTTGATGCAGAATCGGTACAAAATCCCCCCACTATCCCCTATGCAAAAACCAACTTTACCCATGGTTGATGCAGAATCGGTACGAAATCCCCACCCCCACCCTTATGCAAAAAAACAATTTTACCCATGGTGGATGCTGAATCAGTACGAAATCCCACCACCACCGCCCCTATGCGCATTATTTTGTGAATAAGGCAGGAATTTATCTTACCTATGGGAATCACTTTCCTCCCACTTGGAGGTCCCCCAGTGGCACAGCGGTATGTTTGCGGACTTATAACGCTAGAAACCGAGTTTCGATTCCTGTTGTGGGCAGAGCACAGATATCCCATTGTGTAGCTTTGCGCTTAACTACAAATAAACTCACTTGGAGCTCTGAATATCCCGGGGGTAAGTTTAAACATTATATGATATTGGATGATCCAAACCATTATTATCTTTCTATAATTAAACTTTCTAGAATTTTTAGATATGCAAGATATTTTACACTCTTTCTCTTTTCTTAGTTAACATTAACAGTAAGTGTTTAACATCGCCAGTGGGTTTTATTTTAAGCGCTTTCTGTACTGACGTATCCAGACCTTGTGCATGTGCAAGTTTGGGTTATTTTAAATTATTTATCTTCCATCGCTATCTTTCTCTACTTGTCTGACTACAGATAACTTGCGCATCTTTTCAATAAGGTTGAATTTTAATTTATTCGTATTTTTCGCACAGATGATTTGAAATGTCCAGCTGCTTTTGACGGATGGGGTTGTTGGGAAGCAACGCCACCTGGTAACGTAGCGGTCATACCATGTCCATCGTTTGTTCCTGAAATAGATATAAATCGTTAGTAAATTAACATTTTTGTTGAATTAAATGTACGTATATATTATCTCTTATATCGACTGTAATGAATTTTTGTCTAGTTTTATGCAACGTTTAATCAGTTAAATCGCCCATTTTGTGCTTCTATAGACAACTTGAAATTAGTTCGAAAGCTCAGATTATAAACTATGAAACAGTTTTTTCAAAAGTTAGGTTATTATAGGCTATTACATCATCGCATCTATTTGCAATGGATGAGGGTTTGTTTTTTTAGGTTTTTTTCCGTGGTTTGCCATTATGTTCTACGTTGGAATGTTTTTTGTTTTGTTTTTGTGGTAAGATTTCCTAGAAATACTTGATGATAAATCGGGAAAATATAGTTGATTTCTGAACCTATGCTTCTTACTTTTTAGAATTGTGTAACATTGGCGAAGTTAAAGCAGGAAAGAAGAATCAGTAATTTAATTTCTATGTTATGAAAACGTTGTCCTGATAGTATTTTTTTTTCCGATTTTCTAAGATCAAGGCAGATAGGTGAGACAGGCTATCCAAATTATATTTATTGATGGCATTCTTTCAGTGGTTGTTCCAAAGTTCCTTTGTCCTTCTGTTTGTATTTGTAAGCGTTGTTATTTGAGTTTAAAGCTTTTTACTTAATATCTATGGGTTTTGAATCCATTTTACTTCATCATAAATAACCTAAATTAAACAGTTGGTTCTTTTTACTTAATATCTATGGGTTTTGAGTCCGTTTTACTTAAAAATAAAACTGCCACTGCATAGGCTTCAGTCATTTTGCATCATCTATATCATAATATATGCTTTTCTTTATTCATTTTTTTCAGCCGTTAGCCATTTTTTAGAATTTGGTTCTAACATATACATTCCAGAGCGATAGGACCTATTTCGAACTATTCCAAGGCAAAGAGAAAATAAAACTGCTGTCAACAAATACCTGACAGGTTCTTCCATCAGGACGTTTATCTAAGTAATCAGGAAAAATTATTATGACTTTTCAACTGCTAGTCTAGTAATTGCATGCTGTTTTTTTGAAGAATTGATCATTGCCATTACGACACTTTATGCTACGCATTGGCTAATGGTCAGATCAAAGATTCCACCCATAATTTAGAACTACTGACCAAAGGGAGGACAACCAGTCAGCAGAAAGTGTCATCTATGTGGCTACAGTTAACCAAATAGGATGACTGTCACAGCTGAAAGTAAGGAGCGTATTAAATGGCATCTCACGGCTCGAGCCTTGGATCTTCCGATACGCAGCTCTGCGTCAACCTTATGCCACTTGACCACCTTTTTTTTTCTCAGGAATATGCAAGGGAAACTAAAACTATCTCAAAAGTAATTAATCTGTGTAGAAAATTAAAACGTATATATGACATTTTCAATAACTTTTGTGTCCCAACAAATGCACATGAAAATCAATTGAACAGAACCCTACCACAAATGAAGAAAGGTAATTTAATTACCGAAGATCTTTATTTTTATCTCAGGAAAACTGACTCACGCGCACCACAACCTTATGGTATTCCTACACTGCACAAGCATGACTGCTCCAAACGATCTATACTATCCACTCATGACTCGTTTAACTATAATCTTGGAAGATACATAGCCTGGTCCCTCACATCCTACATTACTTCTGTAGGTTTCCTCTTTTAAATATGCTTTTAATTTCAGAAACACATTAAACCAACTAAACCCTAAAGCCTCAATGGCTAGCTTTGATGTTGTATCACTTTTCACCAAAGTTCCCGTCAAGGACACTTGTAATATTGAACATCACCTCTACCGTAATGACCCCAATCCTTTAATTCATATCCCCAGTAAACTTTCAGTTTCTCTCTTAGAATTCACAACAACAAAAACCAACTCCATTTTCAATAACAAAAAACTTTCTTCAAACAGATGGTTTAAGCAACCTTCGGTCATGTGACTTCTTTGTTTCATACTGTATATATATATATATATATATATATATATTCCTATATTTACGTAAACTACTTGTGGCTAATGATGACATAAGCTTGTTGAAACGT